TTTCATGCAAGCTACAACTGTTCAGTTGGAAGGATTTCAGGCCTACAAAAACACACTACTAAATTCACATTTTATCCTTTGATGCAGCCAGCTCAGTCTAACTAACAATCAAACATTCTTCCATTCAATATCACTTCAATATCATCATTTTTTAAAGAAAAAATTAGGAGTGGCAGTCCTGCCAAAAATAGTTACAGATGACTGCATAGCTCCTAGCTATAGCTCAGGAGTAAAATTTAAGATCCTTAGATAATAAAGCCTGTTCTTAGGGAAGCCGTAAGTTCATAAACTTTGTATGTCATATGATGGCTCTTGGGTTATCCACAAACCGCTGAATTCTGATTTTACTTGAACGTTGCCTGTATTCTCAGAAAGGAGCCAGTATCAGCAGACAACAGAAAAATCCTGAAGGAGTGCAGTAGTTCAAAGAATACATCGAAAGGCAGAGTTAAGGAATGGCAAACTGCAAGGGAGGGGGGGCTTTAAGAGTACTGTATTTAGTCCTGTTGGATAAGGGTATGCCCCCAGTTTTTGCACCTATGCAGTATTAGTAGTAGTGGGATGAGAGTGCAAATATTATTTCAAGCATATGAGCCAGATTGAACACTGTCTCCAAAACTAAAATACTTAGACACTGCTGAAAGCAACAGCTATCTCACTAGGCAGTAGGAAAATGAAAAGAAAACTGTACTGTGCGACGGTGAAAAAGGATCTGACAATTGTTTTAGAGTAAGAGACGTGGTTGAGCAATGTCTGGCTCTTTGAGCTAGGTAAATATTACCCAGAGAGCAGAAAAATCAAGATTCCTAAAGACAGAGGGAAAGAAAATTCTGAAGGTGCATTAAACCCTGTCTCCAGGTTAAATGAACTGAAATGCTAATGAAGATGCACTCATACAGGGTTATATCGTTCTTTTATCACATCCTTTGAGAGGTACAACCTGTGGAATGACTGCTTCCCAGCTTTGTCAGCCCTGTCAGGTTTTTTTAGCTGCTTCCACTCTCATGGTACACAGCCACAAATTATCTTTCTCGGTCTTGGTATTACTTAATTTTAGCATTAACCTTGTTTTGCTTTACAGGATACAAAGCTTGGCCAGTGGAGTACAGCTGCTTTTCAAAGTTCTGAGGAAGAAACAAAGTTTTTCAGACTGATGCATGGCTTTAAAAAGGGCTCTGTGCCTATCCAAAATCACTCAGCACCTACGAACAAACTGAACATGGCTCTGAACAGGGAAGGGGAGGAGAAGTTACAGCAGGCTCTGAAGATGGAATTCGATAAAGCAATGGGCTTGAAGCAACATAGAAGAATTGGTCTTGGATTTCAACCTGCTGCCAACAAAAAAGTATACATAGACAGATATACATCTAGATCTATAAAATTTGAAGATTAAAAGTCAGAAGTAATAAAGAGAATGAAAATTCAGCAGGCAAATTTCTTTTTACTTTCCACATCTTTTTACTTGAAATAAAATGCAACATGTTTAAGAAATTTGATTTGTGAGGCACTTGTACTACAAGTTTTGAATTGTAGATTCCGCAGACTATGTAGAGCTGGGTCCTCACTTCAGCTAAACAGTAAGTTTTTGAAACCTTAATATTTTCTACAAGGCAAGAGACAGCCTTTGAGGATTGAAGATATATGGGCAAGTTGAAGCTGAAAGTTACAAGTTGAAACTTAGAAAGTTTTTTTAAAAACTGATTTCATAAACTTATTTTTAGCTACATCTTAGTGATTCAAAAAGATTTTAGTTTTCTGTAAAATCTTCAGTGTTACACTCAGTGAGTGGTACAAAGTGACGGTGTTTAAAGCAGCACTACTGGTACACCTACAAATTTGATGAGGTGAGACTTCTAACTCAGCAAGTAGTTTCTTAAATATTAGCATCTATTATAATAACAAATAACGTTCAACATCCTCTGTATTTTAATTATGCTCTGGCACTTGGATTTTCAAGCAGCAGCTGTTATCTGTAAATGAAGGTAAATGCTTTCTGGATAGCAGCACCAAATACATGGATCTAGACTTCATGGAAAGCAAGGTAATTTTAATAATGTGCTTATTTGGTTTATTGTACATCAGTCTGAATGAAGTTTTTAACCTTTGGATTTTCAGACAACTTGCACTTTCACTGGCTTTTTAATAAGAGTACAGAATATGCAACTGCATTTGTATATGACAAGTTCAGAATTCATGGGGTCCAAAGCAGTCTGTGTCTTGCTTGAAGTTACAAAAAGGTAGTGAACAAATAATGTATTTTATTACTGGCTGTGCCATTTGCTATGGGAGACAGTGTTGTGAGTTTTAGTGTAGGTCTGGTTCTTAAGCAGAACAAGGTGACCATCTCTATGTCCATGCCTACTGTAGTGTAATAGTGGCTGACTTGCAGCAGAACTGCAGCCCCCCAGAATTAGGCTACCATCTCTACTTACCCAGCTCTGTTTTTCTGCCAAATTTCCTATCCTTTTCAGTAAGATCATGCCAACTGATCTACCACATTTCTTGCTCTTTTAAGGCAACCTGACTTTGTACAGCAGTCTTTTCCAGTGGACTACTTTACCTGAGAGCAGCTGCCTCTGGCAGAAAATACACTTAACAAACCAGCAGTTGTTCCCAGTGCATTTTGGGCAACTCCTTGGGGCAAGTGAGAACTATGCAGAGGCTTCAGCTTAAGAGGTTGCCATGAATTCATTCCCATACCGGGGAAGAGGGAGCTGCTGAACTACATCCTGCAGAATCTGAACTTGTCTTTGAGGAAATCATCTCCTTTGAAGTGTCACTTAAAACCACCACCAACTCAGGGCGAGTCTGTTTTGCACCAGTGCTCTCAAAAGCTCAGTGACAGGCTTCAGCTGTTGCTTTACTTAAATTCAAGTAGTAGAGGTTCTGATGTAAGACAGATGCTGAATTCAGGCCCTCAGCTACTTGCTTGCCAAAAAAATGAGTTAAAATAAAGGAACAGGTAGGAAAATGTCAACTAGTGACTTCATTTAGGAGGAGAGGGACAGCATGTACAGCTTTCTGCAGCAGAGCCAGTCTTGGGTGGGTAGTGACTGCTCTCACACTGGCACTGGCAAAGATGCTGAAGATGATACTTGTCCTAGAGCCTTGCTTTTGGATAAGGACTCTTTTTCCCATCTGGAATTGTGTAACGTATATTCGCATGCTGCTCAATAATAGTTTTGTGGATGGCCTGGCACCTTGCTTTTGATACTGTGCACATGAAAATGTTTTAGTTTGAAAAACAAGACACATACCTGGGGAAAAACTGTCAGCTTTCTTCAAGCAGACTTGGTCTGGCCTGTATATGTGCTATATGCAGAAGAAAGACAAGGTCTGTAATAAGTAGAGTGCTTTAACTAAAATTAATTTTGCTTAATGTGGAAGTAAGCCAAAAGCAGTTCATTAGAGTGGCTGTGTTAGCTTCTAAGCTAGGTGTATAGAGTTTGCTCCTGATAACTAACCAAAGCTTTCTGCCTGTCATTGAGATATTTTTGCACTAATAAAAACAGTAGTAAAACATTTGAAAGCATTTCTCAAGGCAGTCTTGCATCAATAAAGAAACCAAAGTTACACTGTGCTCAAAAGACAATAGGCAAAAATTGGTGCGTGTATGGGGAAGAGGAACAGTTGGGACATTTGTAAGCCTGCTGTAAGAGTTTCCATTTTTGCAGAATCTGGAACAACTCCACGTTGGGTGTAGAGCAGTACATTTGCCCCTGGAGGACAGTTTCTGCCATACCACAGCTGCTTAGTGTGACCCACTTGGCGGTTTAGAGAGCTCAGAGTTTAATCTCACCCAGTTTGTGGTTTGTTTCTAAGCCCGACAGGAAGAATCATGTACGTGCTGTTAAGAGTTGTTTCATCCAGTTGCAGCAAGAAGGAAAGGTAAATGAAAGATGGATATGATAACATATGCAGTACTATCATTTCATGATCTCTGGGTGCTTTATATAGAATTATTTAAGAGAAGTCAGTATTAATTAAAATAGCTATATACCAGAAGTTGGAAGTGTTCTGTATCAAGCTGATATCACTTCATAACTGTCTCGTATTCCTGCAGTTTTACTCAGCTTACATATATAGTCTACCAGGACCAAAGGGTCCTAGTTCAGTTCTTTACAACCTTAACACAAAATACGTATTTTAGATGTATCCTGCTTCAGTAACCACTGAGGAGATGAAAAACATGCAACAAGAATGGTTTAATAATTTGTGTAGCATTTATTATCAGCTTGCTAGCTCCTTAAATATATGGTTATTACTTGGTTAGCCTTAACAAAATAAAATATTTTTATGCAAAAATGTATCTTAATATTCATATAAGGATTTAGCTCATTAAAGTACTTATCACAATACAAAAGCAGCACTAGATGCAATGTCTCAATATGGTTCCTTACCATGGGACAAAAGTGATGAAAGTGAAATTTATTAGGTGTAATAGCAGTGCATGTAACTAAATTCCACAAGGGTAAAGTGATAAATTTGTATATGCAAAGAAATATCCCCCAGAACAAACAGATGAACTGCATATTGTTTTATTTAGTGAAAGCGTACTTTGCAAATATAGAGTACTTTGCATACATTTCCATTTTCCTTTGCAGACAGCACTTAAAGATTCCTTCCATTTTACAAAACACCACTGAACTAAAATGAACGCATAAATGTGTCTGTGAAAATGTACTGGAGAAATTAGAACAGTAACACCTCTGCCAGTTTTCTCTTTTACTGGAACTGACCAAACAAATGTTGGCAGCATCCTAAAGCAGAAAGACGATTTACTAGGATTATTATATTGAAATGCTGCTTTCTACATAAGGGAAAGACTATCCTGCAAGTGGGATAAAGTTGGAGGCTGTGAATTAATCCATGTAGGTTATCTTCTTCCTTTGTTGCCAAAATGGCAACAGATGAGGTTTTGAAAGGCTTTTGCAACCGCAGAGATTCAAAATACCACCCCCCTTTACTGAATCTAAATCAGCATTTCAAATAAGAATATAGGGAATACTGGAAAATTCAGATTAAATTATTGCACTCAGAACAGTTTTACCTGAGTCCAAGTAAACCTGTCACACTAAGTAAAATAAAAATACACTGAACTCCAGTCAAAATCTAGACCAGTGATTTTTGGCCTTGGCTACATGTTCTCTTGTACAGATGACTCCTTGGAAGAGAGGCACTCATCAGGTCCTGGACTGCAGAGGAAGCCGAAGGGCCAAGTCTGTGAAGTGACTCATTTCAGGTTGTTTGCTTCGCCTCTTGATATATTCTAGCGTTTTCACCTGCATATGAAAAGTATTTTGAGATATTTAGAGTCTGTCATTTCTCATTTCATGGGCCATCATTCGATCTATGTGAGGGTGTTCTAGTAGGCATTCTCATAGTTTTCCCTAAATTTCACTGGTATTTACACTTCTTGCTCCAGAGCTCATTACGTGTATCTTTCTTAAAGGCTCTAGAATACCCACTTTCCAAGCTTACACAATGCTGCTCCTCCACTAAATAAAAATGCTATATTTCTCTTAAAGATAGTTTTCTGTACTGAAAAAGAAGTTATAGCACCCAATATTTCTAGGTTCCTTAATGTCTGAAATACATTTAAAATGGCTAGAAAGATAATAGACTACATGAAATAAGAGAAGCTCCTTATTCATTAAGAAGCATTTTAAAAATAAGCTTCTTTTTTTTTAAGGAGAGCCATTTTTAAAGAGATTAGGTTTATTCAGATCAAGAAAATGTTACCTTTTCCCAAATGAGGAGTTAAGAAAAATCTTAAGAACTAAAATGTCTCTGCATTATCTGTTTTCCTTACCATAGTCTTGGTGTCAGCAAAGCCATATTTCTGAGCAAGATTCCAGAGATTTACTGAAAGCTGGTTTAGTTTGTTGTTTCGCAGATCCCCATGAGTTAGAATAGTGTTAAAGAAATACAGTGCCAATTGACTCTGTCGCTTTAGGGTCTAAAATTAAAAAAAAATAAAAAAATAAAAAAATCTTGTATTGCTGTATAGTCATCCCAAAACATCCAGCATAACGTCACTGGGATCTCTGAACTCTCAGAAGTGCAAGGGCCAGATACTTACTCTAATACACAGCAATCATTACAGACACAAGAACATGTGCATAGTTTTCATGTTCCATTCAGAATGCAAGAAGTAGTGATAGTCACGGATCACCCTAAGTCACTGTAAATAAAATAATTACACAAGACTCCTAACATCTCATACCACTTTGACACACCACAGTATGTCTGACAGATACTTAAGACTCCCTACAGTTTCATAGAGATCACTCTCCCACCGACCAACACTGCAGCTCCATCTTACACAGAAAGCACAGCAGCATAGCGGTTAAAACAAAACTGTCAGCTAGGCGCCTCGATTAATTAACTTAATAATTCAGCCCTCTCAGTTCAATACGTTTTAGGGTAGCTGACATACAGCGTTCAGATGCAGAGTTACAGGAAGAATGAGGCAGAGACAGGCAAGAGGAGTGGAGTGATGTCTGTGACTCGTGCACTTCTGACACGATACCAATGCAGCCTCTGCCCTTTCCCTAAGGGACTGAAAGTAAATTAATCTCCTTTCTCACTGCCAGCGGAAGAGAGGTCAGATGCTATTAATCCAAGAAACAGCATACACTGAGCTATCGGTCCTCCAGATAAATACGGAAAAGGAGAAGCCATGCCATTACATAACTGGGTAACTAGAAAAGAGGACATAGCGTGCCCCGAACTTGAAGCATCGGACTCTACTGTACCTGCGTGACACACACAGTGGATTTGTACACGCAGAACAAATCTGACACATCAGAAATTGTGCACGCTCACACACACACATGCATATGCAATGCCCAGAGGTGCACAAGGCCCCAGAAGAAGTTCCCTGAGCACTAAATTAATTACATGAAACTACCAAGAAGACAGCTTGTTCTGTAACAATTATCTGTTAGCAATTTCCATCCCAGTAGCTCCAAAACCTGTTCACAGGCTAAAACTACAACCATCATTTAGGAGCACTGAACTGTACGTCTGACCAGATAGAGAAATACAATTGATCAGTCTAGTCCAGTAGTACTAACACCAAGAGCAGAAATACAACTCAAAAAGACAACAAAAGGGAAAGTAGTTGTGCTTAAATGCTTAAGTATTACGGTAGTATTTCTCTTGTAAGACTAACATCCTTCAGGGAAAAACAGATGTAGGGTACAGCCAGCTAGTCCATGTTTTGCCACATTATTCACAAGGCATCCTGGATTAACAAAATAACCTACATTAACTGTAATTTTTTTCCCTTTGACCATCTATCTCATGCTGTGTGTCTTCTGCCGAATACAAACTTCAAAGAGGTTCCTGGGAACAGCGTGGAGGTTTCCTCACAAGAAGTGGGATGGCTAAACTATTGGGCAGAATGCAAAGGCAGCAGTACACCAGTCTGAATATCAACTGGTGAGGTTTTCCAAGCAGTATCAATGCAAATACAAAATCCAATCTTCTTTAAAAGAAGGATGACATTTTGATTAATTTGAAACATACATAGTTCAAAAAGGATCATACTTCAAAAAGGATCTAGGAACACATTAAAACGCCAGAAGAATGAGATGCACACTAACTCTCATTGTATTGGGGTAGGTGTAGCAGACAGGATTTTGGCATCTAGTCATCAGTTACAGAATGCAAAGTAAGGAGAGAGGCAGGCCCAGGTATGCAGTGAATCCCACCACGTCTGAAAATGAAACAGAAGAGTCTTCACGTGATGATGAAGAGGAATATTTGTGTAACATGGCACCAACCTCCCACCCGGGGGAGACGTGGCTGCCAAGCCTGAATTGTGGGTGGCGCTCCAACTCACAGGAGGTATCCACAGGCGGCAAGGGGAAAGCAACAGCTCAGCCATTTGGCAACCACACACATCACAGGACTAGCAATTCCCACACTAAAAAGAATGGCCAGCCTTCTAGGCAGCGCATTTTCCTAAATCTTTGGAATAATGCTGATAACAATGAAACAAAGAACAACCTACATCATCCCAGAACGTGACCACCTTCTGTCCTAGCCCTTCCACCAAAGTGCAATGTCCAAATTTCATATAGCATAACAAAAAAAAAATAGGGTCTGTCATACAATGGACCATGTAACTTGGTATTTCACAAAATTCTGGCTCTCAATTCAAGTATTCATTCCTGTCTTTCAGTGACTTTTGCCAGACAGCTATCATAAGGATACCTCGAACCTCCTGTTAGAAAAGCATTTGTGTATTCAGATCCGCTGCTTCTCTGAAGCTGCATCTAGGCTGCTGCTGCTCTCATGTACAGCCTTAAAACAGCCTGCTCTGATGCTTGCTAACCAGCAGCAAGGTATTTACTTCTCTAAGAAAGTCTCCACCCACACGAAGGCAGAGAGCACTGATACATGCTCTCATGACCAGAAACAGCTCCAATTTTACAGAACTGTCCAGAACCAAAGATTTCCATTCAAACACTGTAACATAAATGAAGCATTCTCTAATGTTGCTAAAATGCCACACTGTGTTAACATAAGATGCATTGTTCTCTTCCAAATTGCAGTTTTGGTGAAAGCATTTTATTGTGAGAAAAATTTATTGTCCTTTATATCTTTTAAAGGAAATGAACCAATAAAAAAGCAGAATCATCAGAGGCTTGTTCATTTAATTGAGCAGCCAAGCAGATGAATAATAAAAGGTCACCAACACTGAAGCAATCCAAATAACACAGTGATTTTATGATTGGCTCTACTTTAGCACAAATATTTTCAAATATTCTCATTGCCTCTATTTTCTCAGCAATAACACCTTCCTCAAAAAAACTATTCAGTCTTACAAAACAATTTTTATCTAAACCTCTTAAGGACTTACACTTAAAGCAGCAAAATAAATGCTCCCCCTTCATAAATAAGGATGGGCAGAGGAGTAAATCCAAGGCCACAGAGGCGAAGGCAGGGCAAGGACCTATATCCATGCTGCTTAGCTTTAAATCCAGTTTTCTATGCAACAACTGCCTCAGTGAAATAACACAGAATCTCATTACTCTAAGTATTAAGCTTGAAAGCAGGACAAAAAAAAGCCTTTCAGAAAACACAGATTTCAAACCTTACAAACATTTCCACCCATATACTCCATATAGGAGTCATATGCAAAATATCCTCAACATGTAACCCACAGTCCTGGAAACTCTTTAAAAATCTCCTTCCAGTACCTGCTTGGACATTCTTAGCTGTGCAAGAATGATCGTTTTCTGCTGTTATTGTTCTGCAAAAGAACTGTTATTCACTGTGGTTATGTGTACAATGATGTAGGAGCAATTGAGCAAAGGATTTATTAATCTTACATCTCTAGAATTACTCAAGGAAGGATAAACAGGATAGCAAAAGCAGAGAACAGGCTAAACTTGGCATAGCATTCTCCAAATATGTATCACTTAACACATTCTGTATTGACAAACACTACAGGCTACTGTGCAGACAGGCTATCTAAAAAAGAAATCCCATCAAATTAATCCTCCCCTGCCCTCAACTTTTCAGTTTACAAGCCACAGGATTTCTATCAATACGCAGCAGTTCAGTAAGGGGTGATTAGGAAGCTGTTGAGGGGTTCAATCTCACAAACAGGTACATTAGCAGAACAGTAAGTTTTCATTATTTCAGTAATATTGAAAACATTAGTCACGTGCCTTTCACATACAATCCATTAAGCTACATTGGATCTCTCAGAGCCTCTAACTCCAATCAAGAAATCCAGTCAGCTGCCTAGAGTTTTCTTTATATATATATATTGAACAAATACAACCCTGTACTAAAACCAGGGTAAAACCAAAACATCTCTTCTCTCCCTCTGTACTTCCCTCCTGACTTCATTCCAGTGTCTACGATCCAAAATATTTACAAATTAAAGGCGGTTTCCACTGCGTTTTACCCAGGAAGACTAACTGTGAAATCTCACTTTGCACACTACAGAGTTGGACATTTCAGGCTACTGTTAACTTTGCTTGCAAGAAAATACAGTTTAGTTGCAGCGAGAAAGGGGACAGTCAGGGAGAACAACAGGAATGGACACAGAGCAGATTTTAGGCAGAACTATACTGCAATCAAAGGAGTGATTGTGGCACTGTCTCCAATTCTTCATCTTAGGCCAATAATTGCAATACCAGCATCATGGAGCTCATTACAGGCAGAAAGACTCTCACAAGAAAAAAAGTTATCCCACACTGAGCATCATATTTCCATAACCAAACCACACCAGGACTCAAGCCAGTTAGTTTACAGCTAACTCTAACCTCACTGTGCTGCTCTGCAATCATCATTCCTCACTGCAGCAGAATCACATCCTTTGATGCCCTGCCACAATCAATACCACAGGCTATACCAGAGGAGCTTCTGGTTCTATCAGATCGCTGGTCCTATCAGACTGTTCACCTACAGCACACAGCTAAGCAGGTAACTTTAGCTTGCACCTTAAAAACGTGTTATAATTGCTACGTGATCTCTTTCACATCATTAGGTCTTTCTACCACAAGCCTGCCTATGTGATTGGCTCACTTTTGAAACAAGTAAAATTACCTAATTTCCTCTTGCTGTAAGGTTCCTAGAGCTTTCTAAAAAAACCGATGCCTGGTCAAGAAGGTGGTCCATTTATTCAACTCCAAAGTAATTTTGGTTTTGTATTGAATCAAGCTGAGCAAGAACATACCTCTTCTTTTCCAAGGGTTTTCAGATGATCCAGGATCTGTGCTACCACTGTTTCACACAGTTTATTAATTTCAGCCAGGAACTTGGAGTCACCACCATACAGGGTATCATTGGAATCAACTGCAGAGATGAATTCAAGCTTAGGTCTGGCTGAAGAGCTATGCATTTGTTTGCTAATGAAAACACCAGCTATTTACAGAAGACCAGATCTGGAAGTTATAAAATGATCCTCCTCCATTAAACACAAACAGAATAATGAAGTTATGATGAAGCCAAACTAGCTTGGCCTCTCAGACTAACTAATCTTGCAGTATGCTTTAGAAGGCTTGAGTAATCCCCTACCTTAATTTAGTAACCTCTCCATGATCAGAAGGCAAACACCCAAATTTTAGAGCAATCAAAATACTATTTCAAAAAGACTACAGCCATTTTATAAAATGCAAAATCTTTGCAATTTTTTTCCTAGCTATTCTGAAGATTTTTGTTAAGTTACCACTTCAATTTTCAAGCCTGCCTTCAAAGCAACAAATATATAGCTTAAATAACGAAGACTAGGCATTACATTCTGAAAATGAGTTGTTAACAAACAGGAATGAAACACCAATAAGTATAAATCAAGTTGATACTTTAGACTAAAAGAAATCCCTCCATATATCTAAAGTTCTATTATTTACTTGAAAAGATCAGAGTTTAAGTATTTGCACCAGCACCACCACAAACAAACTAAGCAAATCACTCTGCACAGATTCACTTTAGAGAACAGACTGTACATCTGTTCAGGAGCCACCTCCTGTGATTATTTTAAGTTACAATATCTGGACCTGCACAGAAAAATAATCTGTTCTGTAAGACTGACTACCACTGCTCTTCATTAACTAGGTATAAAACACACGGTGGAACGCAAGAAGCCAGAGCCACCCTTATGTATTATTACCTTTATCTACATGGTAGATATAAGCTTCTTGAGTCATAGCAGACAGCAGATGCAAAACATTAGCATAAATCCTGACTTTGTCATCACTGTTATCCTCCCAAGTATAATCCTGGATGACATTTAGTAATCCTCGCACAAGAAACAACACCCCTTGTTCTGGATGGTCCTACAGAAAAGAGAAAAGATAAGTCAAAAACACCACCACAACCACCGCAAAACAAAAATGTGATTATTTGTGATCTTTCAAGGGTCTAGCATCACGGTATTAGCTCTTTAAAAGCAAAACCTACAATATAATTAAAGCTGACAACTACTTTTCTTAAGTGTGATCCCTGCAAATTCTTTAAAAAATTTGTTCCAGTTTCCTCCTAAAATTGACCCATAATCATAAACTTGATCTAGGCAGCCTCCACAGACAAACTTTTAAATGCTTTGTTTTCTAGTCATGGGGAAGTAGTACAAAATTAATGGTCAGCTTCTTAACAGCTAAGTCTCTAATATTAAACACACTAGGTGGATCTTTTTACTAAAATAATGACAGTAAGCTATAGGAACAAGTATTAAGTACTCGTACAAGTTTCAGAAGAACACCTACACTGGCAAGTTGAAGTTACAGACAATCAGCAACTTTTAGTATGACAGGAATATAAAGACACCTGCTTTACATAAGCTATGAGTTTTTGCAAGCAGTTTTGAAACTGTACCCAGCTTATTTCAAGCTGGCAGTTGGTGCAATGATACCAACATATGTAGGACAAATCACAGTTCATTGGGAACATTTCCTTCTGATCATCTATCTTGTAAATAGGAGAAAAAAATCATGGAAACTAATTTCTGAATCCTGGTATCTCATTGCAAGTTCTTCTTCATGACTGAGCCTGAGAGGTTGGATCTCCCTCCTTCAATCATCTGTTAATGATCCAAGTAATTTCTCTGAGCAGCATCCAGTTCTGACACAGCCTTCCCTCTGCAGTCAGTGGACAGCAACAAGTGACAGTGGCAGCGAGCCTTTCCCTTCTAAAAACACAGCACCTCCACACTGCTGAACACGCATGGCTTAGGAGACCCCTTCCATTGGAAAAAGGAGAACCCACTGCTCTGATCAGGAGGATTTGGACAGCACTGCACTGTGCTACTTCACCAAACACGTAGTCAAATTAAAAAGGAAAGAGGAAACAGTACGGAGCACTGCAGTGAGGAGGAGCAACCTAGTTCTCCTACAACAAATTAATAAACCTCAAACTTTTTTTTTTCTTTTAAACATGCCATGACACTAAGGCAAGCTTTGCTGGGAAAGAGGAATCTTCTCAGAGAGGGCCACAGCTGTTAACAGAGGGAAGTAAAATCTTCAAGTGACAGGTTTTCACTGCAGTGAAATCTTGAGAGTCAGAGGCCTGTCTTTCTTCTGTAAGGTCAACAAAATACCGTGGCTCTGTAAGTTTTATCTCAGGTCTTCCACATTAATTTACAATTTTTCATCATATTTTAGCTATAGCTGAAAATATAGGAAGGAAAATGACATATTGACCTCTAAGCCTGACAACTGGTTAAAAACTGGAAGGGCATAGAATGGTAGTATTTTGTGAAATATTCATCAGAAGAGGAAGGTTATGCCAAAACACATATTCTCATTACTGTTTTCATTCAAATGACTAGGTGACCTACAAGAAAGTAACTGAAACTAATAGAAACTGGAGCTGCACATTTCCCCCTTCCTCAGGTATTAGATTTTATGAGTGCTCAGCTAAAATACCACTTTTTTGCAAGGACCTATTAAAGCAGTAAATTATGATTATACAATTAAGTTATGGCGAGATTTCACTCTACCTCAAATCCAGTTAAGTGCAAGGTGCTACCAAGAGAGGCAATTCTGTACCTCCACCACCAAACAACTGTTCTGCCTCCCCATTTTGCAGCCAATGAGCAAATTGGTTCGGCTTGCTTTTAGAAGACTAACCACTGCATCTCACACTCGCCAAAACCCAGTCTACTCTAAAATTTTAAACAGGAAAGTTGAAGTAGTCTACTAACCTACGTGCTGTTCATACACACACAACTTACCGGAACAACTAATAATGTGGAAAAGAAATTGCAAAGGAACTCCAGGAGGAAGGCGTCAGAAGGTCGCATCTTTCCATCTACGTTGATCATTTTTGGCACTTCAGGAACAAGGCTTACTGCAGCTTTGAAAAATGCATCAGCTGCAAAATAAAAATACAGTTACTGTATTATAACTCCAACTGCGACGGCAGCCATGCCTGTGATCCAATGATTGCTTAGAGTTTGTTTCAAATATACTACAGAAAATGAACATATGCTTAATTGCAAAGAAACTCAAGACTCAGCAGTCAAAATCTGTGGTAGTTCAAGTGATGCTGTTTTTCAAAAGTTCCCACATCACTCAACATTTCTGAAATTACAAATGGGAAGTCTAAAGGTGGGGGGGAAGATCATGCTATGTTGCTCACAAATTCACCCTGACAAAGAGCTGTTAAAGTTATAAAAAAGTACAGACAACTTCATTTCTCTAAGTATTTACAGTCATTAAAAATAAAATACTAATATAATACCAGAACCTGTATTTCTGGTAACCTAGATAAAATTATTCTTTCCAAAAATCACAATACAGGAATTTGAGAAACCATTCATCATTATGGCCATGGCAAAATAGCTATTAAGAGGTTTTTCAAAACTCATTATTATGTCTCTCATCCTACCAAAAAAACCCCACAACCCACTAGAACATCTATTCACCAGTTTAATAAGTTAATATTCACAAACTAAACCCAACAATATTTCCCCTCTTACACTAGAGGACCTCCTATATGCTAAGAGTTAACAAAAAAAATTCTGATAGCAAAGTTCTTTTGCACTTTCTTGGCTACATTTCAAAATATCCAAGAATCCAGATCCCATTCTTTAACGTATACTTCAAAGCATCCTTTGGAATTAATACTGCATATTTTACAGGAACAGAGACTGAGGTCATAAGGTCATGCAATCAAATTTTAGTGAACAGAAAGAGAAAATTCTTGGTGAAAGCCAAGAGGTGTTACACAGCTGGGATGGAGATACCACTGTCAGGCATGCACGGGCATTTCCAGGAGTGCAGCTTGCTCTGGAAAAATTCATTTGAGCACATGAGACTCCAAGCAAATTTGCTAAATATAGTACCAACTGATATCTAATTTAAGCTTATGAGGAATACCAGAGAAACACGTGCTTTGGAAAACTGTAATTCTTCTGACTCCTATTTCTTTTCAGGACACAAGTGCTCAAGCCCTTTGAACTTTTCACTGCTTAGAATGCAGACCCCTTCAGTCAAACATCATACTTGCTTTTACTCTGCACATTTATTCTGAGGTGAAATAATGTGGGGTTTTTATTTATTGCAAACAACTTACAAGTTTACGCAGCCAACCCAAAGGAAGTAATCTTCCTCCGAGCTTTATGAGGAAGGAAAGCAGCAGCAGATGTTCATTCTAGCACAAGTAAATGAATTGCTGTCACTTCCACAGTTGTCTCAGCAGACAAAAAAAGTGCATGCCCCACATCACCACATAATCAAAGCATATGACCAGACAATTGAAAAAAAATGTGTCTCAGAAAATAGTCTGCATACCAAAGTACCTATGTCTGTGCAGGGAGTACTCCTGCCTTCTGAAGTTATTTCGTGACAGGGCAGAAGTGGTCTGCACAGCAATCAGCCTCCACAATGAGAGAGAAGAGCTGCAAAGTACCTCACCTCAATTTACAGTTAGTTCTCCCAGCAATCACAGTCCTAAACATTCTCCTCTAAACTTTTGCCTCAGCACAAAACCACAACCTCTTGTATTTGTTATAAATAACTGCAATTTGATTCAATTGATGTCATTGCTGCGAATGAGAGCTGCCTTATCTGGTTGAGCACCTTCAGAGACACGAGCTCCCTCATTACGCCTGCCTGGAAGAGCAGCGTGCCCGGCTCCTGTTTGGGTGACTGCTGCTGAGAATGCGGAGAGACCCCTCCTCACCACAAAGCTCAGCCGGCTCTGCCTTGCTGCAAGCCCCGCTGTGCTTCCATTTTTTTCCTCCCTAACCACAGCAGTCACGCAGCTGCTGCCTCCCTGCCACCTCCATGTGGCTGCTGTCCTCTCGCCACTGCCACAGAGTTGTGTTTGCAGGTCACCCTGCAACCCCCCACGTGCTGTCGCTGTCTCAGAGCCATAAATCATAACAGCAATTAGCTGCATTTTCTATTAAAGAGATAGATGTTTTACTTTAGCAGATTCAGAAGTACTGGCAAAGGAGAGCATGCTCATTTTGCTATGAGTTCAGTCAATCTGTGCTAGCCACAATATGGTTCTTGTGGTGGAACACTGAAAGCATATTCATCTAAAGTATACGTGCTTCATAAGAAACAAAACCGACGGAGAGAGGTGGGGCTGTTCAGTCTGGAGAAGAGAAGGCTCCGGGGAGACCTTATTGTGGCCTTTCCAGTTCCTGAAGGGGTCCTACAAAAGCTGGGGAGGGACTTTTTACAAGGGCAGGTAGCGATAAAACGAGGGGGAATGATTTTAAACTGGAAGAGGGTAGATTTAGATTAGCTATTAGGAAGAAATTCTTTACTGTGAGGGTGGTGAGGCACTGGCACAGGTCGCCCAGGGAAGTTGCGAATGCTCCCTCCCTGGAAGTGTTTAATGCCAGGTTGGATGGGGCTTTGGGCAACCTGGTCTAATGGGAGGTGTCCCTGCCCATGGCAGGGGATGGACTGGATGAGTTTTAAGGTCCCTTCCAACCTAAACCATTCTATGATTCTATGACTTAAAAATAAAGTAAATTAACATTAATGCAAAGGTTTTATTAGAGACTACCTGTTTAGTGAACTTTTCCTCCAAACGCTACCATCTCTTCACCTACAGAGGGGTGTCAGAACATGCATCACATGCTCAATGTTTGGAGGAAAAGTTCACTAAACACGTTGTCACGGAAAAGCTCTTTTCTTAAGTAGTAATAAATAAGCATTTGCATTTAATTCTGAATTACACTAATTATGAGGTTATGCAACAGTGCTTTCTCTGTGTCTTTCAAAAGTCAATTTACAAAGCTATTAACTGTAGAGGTGTTTAAAGAGAAAAACATACACCTGCTTTTACTGGCTTCCAAAAGGTATAAGGAACCACTTAAAAAGCATCAAAAACCACAACAATGTTATGTTCTTCATTAAAAAAGAAAAAAAGATAAAAAAGGCTTCTTCTGGTGAAGGATGCTGTTTTCTGCCAAAACGGAAACATCTGCCAACAGTACAATGCTGCTTCTAAAGCCACTGTTAAGCTGGGTAACGGGAGAGCAGCCTGCACATTACAACAAATCATCATGATAAAGTCTTCCCAGGCTGCTGCTAGTATCTTGTGCAGTGCTCCGAACATGACATACTTCATGCTTCACTAAATTTATCCTTTCCCAGCAGCTCCTTCATTTTGGTTGACCATAATCCTATAAATCTTCCCCCCGAGCATACATGCTGACCTTCAGGCTACCAAAACTGACAATCTTGGATATCCAAGTCAGCACTTCTAGTAACGCTCTCCTACCGAAAAAGCAAGTGAAATTGGTGTTGAATGTTTCGCTGCTGTCAATATTCATGATCGTACATACATACACGGATTTAATTATGCATATATTTCCATGTATCAGTCTCTCTACATCTAAAAAATTCAGCTTATGCTGTATTTGCTGCATCTATGATAGAAAATTAAACTGCACTAATTTAAGATTTCAGGCAGGAAAAAAACCAAGGAGGAACAAAACCATTAGAGATGGGAAAACAATTAAGCTCCCTAAGTCCACCTTCAAAGAGAAACGGGAGAGAGTTTGACACACCTACACAAATTTTTAGTGACATTTTTAGTCACAAGTACACAAGGCTAAGTTCACCCAAAGGACAAAACCAGGGATCATATGCATTCCACATCACCTTCGTGTCCTACAAGCATATTTTAATACTCCAAAGATTTATTTCCACATCTGACAGAAGTTGGAAATCTAATGAAGTCTTGTACTCCAGCACAAAAAAAATAATGGGAAGCAAGTGTGAGGTTTGTTGCCTCTTTTTTTCTGTTGTTAAACAAAACAATGCATTGCTGTTTTAACTACCAAGCGTTGCAAACATTGGGAACTCCTCCGCACATTGGTGAGGTCACTGTGAGAGTTTTGTCACACTTTTGAAATGTGTTTTTCCCTTGAGCTATTGAACATTCTCCATCTTAAAACACTCTACACATCACTTCCAATCCAGAAACTACAGATAATTACTTGAAGTAACAAAGATGAAGTAAGAAAATGAATGTGTTGCCCCTTGGTGAACTGAAATGTGCTGTGTTAAATCATACCATTTCTTACTAATTCAAACTGTGAATTAGCTGCAAATAAAAAGGTAATTATGTGGATGAAGCTTGCTAGTGTTAGTTTTAGGAACAGCTTGATTATAGATTGTTAGCAAGGCCTTAGTACTTCCAGACAAAGGCATACAGAGGCACAAGCAGAAGGGAAAAGTCACACAGAGAGATGAGCAAGAACACTGGATATTTTATTCTTAAACTGTAATCAGTAAATGCAGCACACACTACCACTATCGTCATTCCCTTACCAAAAAAAAAAGCCCCAAAACCCAACAACAACAACAAAAAAAACCCAAAAAATGCCCAACCACAAATTTCAGCCTGCCTCTCTAAATTCCATGTAATGCCCAAAGACTGTGAGGTAAAGTAAGACTTCCATTAGTAATACTGCAAACTTTGAAATAATAAAAGCTGTAGTTAAATACTGTCGTTTATCCTGGTTATTATGAGCTGAAAAAAAATTAAAAATCAAATGAGGAGACACATGAAAAAAGATGATGTCTCAACTTTTCCAAAGAACCAGCAGATTTGTGTTTAAAAGAGACTGGCCAATGCAAACACTTAGATTTAAAACAAACAACAACAAAAAAATTAAAACCAAACAAAAAACATTTAACTATGTGCCTCATACAAAAGGCTCTTAAAACAACTAAGCTGACAAAAGATAAGGAGGAAAGTCCTCCGAGGATTCACACCTTAATAAAGGATGGGGTGGAGGAGAAAAAGAACAGGATTTAGAAGTTCTCAACTAAGTCAAATGACTAACGTGTTACGGTTTTGCAGAGAGATGCGTCCTTATGAGGAGCCGGGAAGTGACAAAG